TGAGCCCTCAAATCATTTTGCTGACCGTGACTACCTTTTGGCACTTTTTGAACACAAACCTGATGGAAGGTAAGTTTACATAGCTTGGCGAGCTATTATTCGCATTACTAGGAAAAGGTCAACGCACTCTTACCCTTCAACTACAGAGCGTGATTCATTGCGGATTGGACTAAATCATCCAATTAATCTAGACAAATATATGCTAATATTGATGATTTACAGGTTACTGCTTTACCATTTCCCCTCGAATGAACTCACCGTACTTGTCGATGGCCTGTACTATCCAAATGGTGTGCAGTTCGATTACCTCGAAAGATGTGTATTTTTCTCCGAAATGGGCAATTTACGAATACTCAAGTAATTGTTTTTCTCAATGCAGACCTGAATGAGTTCGTAGTCTCATTGAAATTCTGTTGGAAATAACTCCATTCTTTTCAAAATGAACAAAAACTTACTGGTCAAGAATTGAATTTAAGAAAAAGTGGAAAAACTTTTCATCCCGGAAATCATGGGAAGTAATTTAACTTACTGTTTTGTAGCTTCGAAGCCTAAGCAAACTCATTATGTTTAGACATTGTTTGGCATCCGGGTATGGGAGCTTCAGCGTTGTGATGGACAATCTGCCTGGATATCCTGACAATCTTCGAGCAACACGTGACTTTATGCTATGGGTGCCATTTGGAGAAACACGCTTGAAAGACGACTCGTGGCTCACCGAAAAACCGTGGCTCATGGATTTCATTGCAACGGTCTTAGTTTTCTTTTTAGTCGAATTTTTATTTCGACACATATATGTATAGTTATTTTTATGGGTTTTTACGTTTGTGTACACAAAAACGCATATGGTATATGTTTGTTAGAATAATTAAGCTTCATAATTATCAGATTTGGAAAACGTAATTTTTCTAATATAGTTCTTTTCTATCTGAAGGACCAAAGATCTGAAATTATGTCTCTGTTTTTCGATTCATCATCTCAAGCAAAGATCGGTCTAATTTTACAGTTCGCGAATTCCGTTTTTCAAGTTTTAAAAAAATTGTCGATAACTTGAATGAATTGTTTGTTTTTTTAGATAGCCAGCCCATCGTTAATTTCGAAAACATATGATACTTTCTTCTCATCAAAACATGGCCTGATGCTACTTATTGATCCTTACGATAAAGTTATTTTAAAAAGTTTTCATGATCCAAATGGTACAACAATTTCTTCAATCTCCCAGGTAAGATGTCCTCTTGTGAGCTTGTTTCTTTTGTTCTGTGCCGCTTGTGTCACATGCTTTTGCGCAATGCTCCAATAATACCTGGCATTCTTGTGTCATAGCCTAACTTTTGTGTCATCCTATTTGTTTTATTACTGCTTTTCCCGTCCCGTTTCTCGTATGCTTTTTTGTTAGTACGGGGGCTTTCAAAGTTGTATTTACACAAAAACAACATTCATATTAGTACTGGAAGGTAAAAGCTACTGGCCTAAGGGGGTAATGCCCTTCCTTGACATACCATTACACAAACTGAGCAGGCCGAAACAAATCTCGTCTTGGATCAATTGATTTTATTCGTCAAACCGTACGGTACCCTACCTACTTTCTGGGAGAAGAAATGTAACTGAATGTGACCTGAGTTAACAGCATCTACCAATAATATGGCTGAAAATAGTTCCGTCTCCCAAGAGTTACTTGAAAAGGTTGTTATTTCTCTGATGTGCCTGTACCAGTTTGCCATGAAAACAAATTAATGAATTGCTGAGAGGCGGGAGGAAGGGAAGGAAGGAGAAGGGGTTGCGAATTTACTGAAGCTTCCAAGTAGATGCTACGTAAGGTCAAATCGAATTCATTTTTTTTAATCAGTCTCATAACGAAGCTTAATCAGGCTGATCGCTGAGCTTACAGGTAACAGATCTCAATGATGGCAGCGTTCTGCTTGGCAGTGATAAAAATTATTTGGCTAGATTCAGGCCATTCCGGACGACGTAGCTCACATCATTCATACTATTGCTCGACCAGCATACTGCTAGCGAACTTTGAAATGCTTTTTAATATCAAGTTCTATCTTTTTGTTTTCAGTGCCATACTATGTTTTTGTTTTAACTTTTGTTCTCCGCGTTAAATCTGTGCGTGTTTATTTCGGCAAGTAAAATCCATAATTATATGCCAGAGAAGCACTCGTTTGGTCACTAGACTATAAAGTATAAAAACCACTTTCGTGTGCATGCTATTATCAGTGGTTTCATGATTCCCTTTAAGAGATTAAGCGCCTAGTGAAGAATGGAACAACCAACCCCTCTACGATTCTTTCATTCATTCCTATGGTGAACTAGTACTGGAGTATGTCAGGGGTTAAATCCGTCATCAGTTTGCTTTTAAGCAATACTCTAACATGAATGGCTGCTCTTGGTACTTGCAACAACTTGAATTACTTTTGAGTTGATTTTTGGGTTTTGAGCTTATATATTTCAAGGTTCCCAGTGCTCTTTTCTGTAAAAGATACAGAGTATTTTTATGGGGTAAATCACACTAATGGTGACAACTGCTGGAACAGTGCTGAAACACGGCTCCAGCAATTCAGCCGTCCGTGTTTGCTGTTCAGGGATGAATCACAGGCGTCATCTAGTTTAAATACCGGTTGGCTCACGTGAGATAGCTAAATGGCTCTTTTGGGTTTCACTAAATATTAAAATTCGACTGTTTTTTTCTTT